TAATTTGACCATAGTCTAATTAGTCAATAAGGTCAAATTGGTCTGTATAACCTAATTTAACTTTGCGAATGCATCACTAAGTATCAAGTTTGCTAATTCTCTTATTCTTTGTAGTTTACTTCGAATGTTTATTACTCATTTGCTTATCTTCTAAGAACTTTTTCTAAATTATATATAGATGTAGTGGAATCTATAGAATGCAATGGCAAGAACTGAAAGCATTATATATTTTGAACAAAGCAAATAATCAAGAACCAGACAATGCAACAGTAAGAAAAAGATGAGGCCAAAGTTAATATCAATTTTTTTATTATAGCAAATTTTCACAATTCCCCCCTTGTATAATAATAAAATATTTTATTTTCTAGTATTAAGAACTATAGAATTATCTTCAGCATATTGCTGAAAAGCACAAACATATAACAGTTGTGATAAATCTTTTGTAAAAAGATATTTAAGTTTAGTTTTTGAATCTTTATGTTCAGCTAGATGACAATTGTACAGTTAGTAGTTTCAAAAGAGATTATGCTTAATTCTTTGGCTTTTTCATTCTCATTACTGTAATTATTGTCATTATCATCATTTTCATCATCATCAACTTTGATATATTCTTTGATAATAAATTCTTTATTTATTATTTCCTTATCTTCATCATTAGCATGTTCATCATTACTATTGTAATTATTATTACTATCATAATTATCATAACTATCATAATTAGGCATTTCATCAGCATTATACACAATTTTGCTTTGATCAAGTATGTTAGAATTATTTAATTCATTACTTAATTTAATGCTTGATTTATTTGCTAAATTTAATTCAGTGTTCGAGTTGTTTGCTAAACTTGATTCAATATTTGCTTTACTAGCTAAGCTTGAATCAACGTTCAGTTTATTGGATAGACTAGTGATATGATTGATGGTGACAGATTGGTGAATTTTTTCAATATTCTCTAAGTATTCTTCCCATACTATTTCAGCTGCGACTTGAATATCCTAAAAATTGTTTGTAGCTGCAATAAAATAAGTTTATTAAGTATAAAATTTTCAAATTCTAAACACATTGTTACTATAATATAAACTTACAGTATCTTTGTATAATTTTAAGTAATTTTATACAGTCATCCCTCCATATAGTCACCTCCCATATAATCACACCATATGTAATCACATTTATGTTTAGGCTAAACTATGATATAATTTATAAGAAAAAAACCTTCATATAAGCACAACTTCTATATAAGTATATTTTGAAAAAAATTTACTATGTGCCTAACAGTGTGATTTTATAGGAGGACGACTGTAGTAAATTACAGTAAATTAATTTCATATAATTTGTAATTTTGAACATACAACATAATTTCTGAGATCAAATTTTTAACAATTGAGAAGTTACAATTCAGGTCATATATATAATATTATGAAAATTACATGTAATCTGATTTATTAAAATTTATATAAAAATATATGTATTGTGTAAAATTATAACTTTTGTAATACAACCTTATTTTGAGATGATTGCATTTTGGATTTTGAAACCATCCTATTTAAGAGAAAAGATGCTTGCATAGTATCAAATTAACTTTTATACTATATAATCTGTAGGCAATTTTACTAATTTCTTTTTGATCAATTATCACAAATTCCTAATATTATAATAATAAAAGCTCATCCACATTATTTGTTGTAGCATGTGTTACTAAGATAACTTCAATGGTGTTTTTAAACTGTTTATTATCAAATATATCACGTTTCATGTAATATTCAGTTAATTCTAGAATAATACGTCGTAATTTTACACCAAATCACACTTCATAATAATATTTGATCCAATTCGTTATTCATTCAAGAAAAAAAAATTAGCATACACAAAGCCTAAACATAATATTGCAGATGAAAGATAATTGCTAAGAAAAGAAGAGGTTGTTCCCAATCAGTCTACCTTTTTTCAAGTTTCTGTTGTATTTGATAACTAAATTTATCTAAAACATTTTCATATTGATGTACTACATATCCGAAAACATAGGCAACATCAAAAAGATTAACTATATCACGTTGAAGATAGTCCAAGATGCTGACAAAAGGCATAACATATTTTGCTAATTTTTCAAAGCATGTCCAAAATTAATTACTATTAATATCAGCTCGAGATTTATCTAATAACTTAAAAGAGTTGGTATATAAAATTAAATATGATTGTAAAGCATGTTTGCTTCTTAAAAGTATTGTAAAACAATAATAATACGAGTTCTAATAAGTAGTTATTGAAAGCACAAAGCTATAAATTGCCTTGTAAACCCTCTGCTGCTCATCACGAAGTAATGATATTGCTTTTGAATATCATTGATTAGTAAGATGTGATTCCAATTGCTTGCTTTAGTGTTTGCCTATATTCAAACAAAATTTTGAAAATATCACCAATACACAGGTTTGTCTAATGAACAAAACATAGTAAAAATATAATATCATACCTTTGCAATCATATTTTGTATCTGGTAAGTAAATGTATATATTACTTTATGATACAAGACTAAATAACTTTTTTTTTTTATTATTTTTATCTATATATACCATGTGGAGGCATATACTGAAGCACTATCTGTGACCACTGCCACCACATTAAAATTCTGATTATTAGCATGCTTCAAAAAAGCATTATTGTAAAACTACAAAATAATGCATATCTGTGCATTATTTTGAACACTTGCATATTATTTTGAATACACGTATGTGCATTATTTTGAGCCAAAAGTCAATTTTTGAGTCATATTATTTTACTATTATACTGGGTGGGTAAAAAGTCTCTAAACAGGACTCTAAACAGAACTTTTTTCTATCTCTACTAATATTTAATCTTATTTATTTTTATACCAAATGATGAAAATTCTCTAAACAATTTCTTTTTACTATCTCTGCTAAGATTTATATATACAATTTACAAAAATATTGTAATGATTACTAATTATAAATGTCAGAATAATTTTCTTAGTAATTAAAAAAAACAGGATCCTATTTAAAAACTTTTCACCTACTTAGTATATAATACTACCATTATATAAAATACTTGTATTAGATGCATAATATTTTAGGATGCCTATGGATGCTATTTTGAAATCATAAATATTATTTTTAAAGGATCTAATTTCAAAATAACACCCATGCTTGTTATTTTACAGTTTTATAATAATTATGTTCAATATATCAGAGGTTTTTGTTTTTGATCACTAATGTCTTTAGCACCTCATATATGTAGTTGATTTGCTGCAGAGAGAATAATAGCATCTAAAATTTTCTGGTAATGCACATTTTTCCAACTATCAAATATAATTGTAATGGACTTCTTTGATTCAAAGAGTTTGGAAATTTTAATTTTTTCTAATTTTTCCACTGCATATTCGATAAGAATTTACTGCTTAATGTTTTGTGACTTGGAATTTTAATGGTCAGATTAAAAAAATTAACTAATTTACAAAGTATACTACATTCAACAAATCGAAGTGAAAACCTATTTTAAACCACCAATCATAAGAGAAAAAAATTAAATTCATTTTGCTAAGTAGTTGATAATAGATGAATAATGTATATATTAAGTGTAGGTGTTTTTTTTTGATTTAAATTTTCTTGTTTCACTTATTTATAATAAGCTTGAAGTATTAGTAAGCATCGATTCTGATATGTTTAAAGTTCTAGAGTTTGATGAAATAACAAACATGGCTGTACTATTTTGTTTTCTTGCTTGTTGCAGTACATTAATAGCATTACGTGCCATATTTTCATTAAGATTTTTATACATCATTACTTCTTGGTCTTTATCAATCCAAAATTTACGCTAGTATGAATAATGTTTCTAATATTATTGTATATGATTTTACTTATTAAAGAATTTATATTTTTGATATACTTCTCACAATTCAAGGTCTTCATTTCTTCTCTTTTTGAATATTTGTTTATTACTTTCACAGGTTTTGCAAATAGTCTACTTGGCTGTTTGGTCTGGATCTAATTTATCTTGAATATAAATATATTTTGTTAATCTATAGTAGTGATGTTGAGACTTTTTTTTTTCTAATACTAATATTTATTGTAGCTTTTATATAATTGATCGAACAGATCTGAATAAAACTAGTTTGGCTCAAAAGCTAATTAATATTAGATTAATGTTAAATATTTCCAAAATATTGAAACAGTATATTCAGTTATATATTTATTTTTTTATAAAGAAAATACAAAAAGAAAACAAGAAACAAGTATTTAAATCAATCTTATGCTACTAAATTGAGGTAATTAATTTTTTTTATCTTTCAATCTACCATATAGCTTATAGTATCCATATAAAATAATATTCCTATGATTAAGACCTGGATACAACAAATACAAGTTTTCAAAGACCTAGATTGCTTGTTATAAGTGCAAAGTGTATATGCACTTTAAAATTTTATATTTTATGACATAAGCCTGCTAAAGTAAAATATATCTGGATACTACCATAATTAATTTAAAAATGAAGGTTTTGAATAAACTCCAGATAATATAAGCAGTGCTAGAGTAATATTGAAATTCTAATATTCTTCAAGATTTAGTTATTTATAATAATAGTGATATGATAAGAATTGAACTTATTAGTTATAGACTGATGCATATTCGTTTATATAAATGACTAACAATTTATAGAAAATTTTGTCTATTATGAAATATAATTATTATTGCTCAATTATGTGTATAATTCTAAAAAGAAATCAATTTATCTATTTTTAGTCAAGAATTGATACTATACATTATTTCTACAAAGAACAAAATCATTTATTTTATTGTAATGTTATTAAATTTTTCTGTATAGTGGGCTATTTTGCAAAAGTATGAACTTGTTACAAAGCAAATTTTATACATTTATTAAGATCAAAAATTATTGGTATATATTAACAATTTTTTGTATTAGATTTTATTTTTTAGATTTATATTATTTGTCCAAATAGTGCTTTGACTAAATTGGCTGATACAAATTAATTTTTTGAATAACTAATTAATGCAGCTGTAAAAGTATAATGTTTATATTTAATACATGATAATTTAGATGCAAACTCAAATTCATTGCTATCTAGAGAATTAGCCAAAGCAGCCACTAACCAGGCTATATAATATAAGCTGTTACCAAAATCTATAGTATTTAGATAGATTAACACTGAGTGCTACTGTTAATTCTGCGGTAATACATATTATATTGAGTTGCTATTAATAGAAATTAAGCAGATTTATTAGATAAATCTATATGATTTCTATTTGTGATAGTTCATATAGAGGAGGGATAAATTAGTACACAACTGGAACTTAGTAGATTTGCCAAAATTTAAACTAAAACATGCTGCCATTAAGTAATAATACTGCTAATTATATGGGCAACTTCAATTAATATATAAGCTATTGCCTTTTTTTATTAAGATTTTTAGTCTATAGAAATTTCAGCCTATTCTAACTCTGAATTTTGTCCAATTTGCTTAATTTTGGTTGCATGATTAATATATTTCTAGATAAGTAATGATAAGAAAAAATCTGTTAATCCAATTTTTACAGATCAGATTTGTTATATAATTTAATCTATTTTTTAATAATTTTAGACAAATACTATACAGGAGTGTTTATACATTCAAAATATTCATATAAACAAATTAGCAAAATTGGGCCTTAGCTAGGGACATAAAATTTTAAATTGAAACTTATGTTTTTTA